AATAAAAATATATCGCATTCTTAAGAAAATGAATTTATTGAGCTAAAAAATTATATATGTGACAGTTTTTCATAATTAAGAATGTGAATATGCTACTTTTTCCCTTTAACAAACGCTATATACTATAAAGTTTTATTTTGGGGTCATAACGCTATTTATTGAAAATTTCTTGAATATGCTTTTTTTATTCTTACAACGAAATAGAATCACGAGTTTTGGGAGAATCAGCGTGAGGTTTGAATGTTTGTGGTGAGGAAATATTGACACATGTGGATATTGAAACAAATCGCTGAAAAGAATTGGAAAGTTTTGTTACACCCACCAATATGTTTGGCTTCGTCACCTAATCTCTTGTTTTGATGTCTTTTTTTATGAACCTTTCAGTCTTTAGCCTCAATAATATATATCAAGCCGATCCAAAGTTCGAACATTTAGCTTTGCTTCTCTCTTTGGCCGTTGTTCATATATATAACCTTATTGTTTCAGAATTTATTTAGGTATATATAAACAAAATGCTAACCTATTTCCCCATTTGGCATGAAGTTCCATGATGATGAGCTGTTCTTCTGCTGTGATATTTCCCCGCCGTACATCTGGTCGGAGATAGTTCAGCCACCGGAGCCGGCAACTTTTTCCGGTGCGTTTTAGACCTACAATACATGTATATTATAATCAAAGTGCATGCATGCGTATATATTCTTTAATTGATAAAAGTATAAAAATAAACTTGTTCTAAACATTATAAAGTCATTTTTAAGTGGTTTACTCTGTTTTTTGGTTATTTGGAAAGAAAAAAGAACTGATTTTTTAAACCAATGTTTGACAATAAAAAACTGATAGTATATTGTTTATTTCTTTAATTTTATAAATACAAAAACCAGTGAATCAGTGAAAGTATAAACTCTAACATTAATTTTACCAGATTATGGTAACAATTCCAACCGGACAAATTAGTTTGTGTCTTTTTTTATTTTATTATTAGATTGTGTCTTCTTGAAAAAAAAATAGTTTAGTTGACAAATCTATGCGTATATAAACTCCGTCATGTTTATTTACATACGTAGATAATAAGATACATGAAGTTTATATATTTAGACTAACCTATATTTTTTATATAGATTTTACGTATAAATCAATTTTATAAACCTTTGCAAGTTAGGTCAGTATAAGTTATATAACTAAATTGTTCAAAACAAAATTGGTTCAACAAAAGTTATATAACTAATTGCTTGTGGGTATATATAAAGTTAGAGAACAATTTCCGAATCGACAAGATCTGTTGATCAATGCACAAAACAGAGATCTATTTAGGCAGATTTCAATCAGCTGTAGATAGTTTTGTTAAATCCAGTAAATAGATATGCATGCAATAAATTGGTAAGTGATTGTCCCAAGAAAACTTGTAATAATCTTTTTCATATGAAAAACAAAACTCTATCTTAATTCATTTTTAGATCGATTGTGTACAGAAAACCTGTGATATTAGAGTTCCTACGTGCTTTTCATATCAAACAGTGGAATCATACAGAGATTAAAACCTAATATCATCGCATGTGAAGACCAAGCCCTAGCTTATCAACACACACACATATATATATATATATATACGTATATGATCTTATACATACATGGATGACAAATTGGAGATTTATTGCCAATTGTGATATATATAATATATATATATATATACACACACACACACAGAGAGAGAGAGAGAGAGAGAGAGAGAGAGAGAGAGAAGAAATTCCATCACCTGCGGATTTGGCGAGAGAGTTCCAAACACCTTCACCATGATTGGCGATATAATTGATGAGAATCAAATCTTCTTCCATCGTCCATGGCCCTTTTCTCACCTCTGCATCTCCTGATCCCGACCCGCCACTACTTCCTCTTTTCTCCATTTTTATGATTATATACTCTTATCTACTATAACTAATATTGATAGATGAAGATATTTTATAGAGAGAGAAATAGAAAGGGAGAGTATTGAAAGTGAGAGAGATAGTTGATATTTTGTGGTGGTGGGCAAGTAGCTATTGCTTTTATAGAGAAGGATTCTCAAATGTAACGCGTTATAACAATCTAAAAAATCTTAGTGATTTATTACTATAAAGATTAAAGATATTAATTAACCACACTTGTTTTCGTTTTAACTTTTATTTTGTAAATTTTAATAACACATGAGCTATATAGCTTCAAAACCTAACTATGATCATATAGTATGATATCTATCTTGATCTATCACATGCATATATAAACATGTATGTGCGTACATGATCGCATAATCAATCTTCGATGTACACGAGTCTTTATGTAACTGTTTAGACTGTGCTTATATGGTTTATATATGAGTATGATTAATAACTGATTTTTTGTGCACTCCAACCCGCATATGCAGGTCTATTGGTATTCTAGCTAGGGAAAGGGATTAAACTTTTCACGCCCACAAGTTCGAATCTCGATATGACATAATTAATCTGTTTTGGTCATTATATTAAGAGATCATGAATCAAACGTCTAATATTTATCTAGTAATTACAACAAAATAAAAATCGTTGGTGCATTTGAAGTAGATATGTACATATATAGATGATTTACCTTTATCCATAGAAAAGGATATTCATGATGATCTTAATTACATTTAACAGCGATAAAGTTTATTTAATTTGGTCATCTTTTGATTTCTACAACTACTACAAGCAATGTTAAATGTTTCAGTTATGTAATAAATTATAAATTATTTCCTATATTGCAATCGATCGATGTCCAAATGGGATTAGTGATAGAATATATCATATTTCAATATTTCAGTGCTGTCGAATTGAATTATGTTTTAAGGAAATTGATTTACTTATTGTGAAATTATTAATCCACATATGCTATCAAAAGTTAATTTCAGATTTTAGCAACTATATATACCGTTTTTTTTTGTCGAAATATATCGAAAGTTTTCAACTTCTTAGTTCTTAGTTAACAAAACAAGAAATATTTTCTTTGATATTTGTATGAAAATATATGAATCATTTGTGCGATTTATTTCTAAACAACAGTTAAATCTTACGCTTTAAATTGTGTTAAATAATAGAAAGAAAAAAATATACTATTATGTTAGGTTTTATGACCATATTTTATAAGCTATTGGAAAAAAAAGGAAAATGTGGAGGATGTATAAGTCACTTAATAACGTTAAAAAAAAAAGAGAGAGGTATAACCACTTAATATATCAAAATGTATATCAAAATTTTAGAAGTTGCATTTGATTCTTTTTTTATTCAAAATTATTTTTGAGTTTTCGGTTTGGTATATTGGATTGAAAATGAAATGTCTTTGATTTGACTATACCATTCCAAGTCTCATTCTCTTTGATCATAGAAGAGATGATATCTTTGGGCCTTTTAGTAATCATTATTATTTCTGTCGACCAACTTTGTTAGTAAAACAATATTATTGACTGGACCTTTCTAGTTACTCAAATCAAAAGATTTAGTTAGAAATTCGTAATTTTTTCTTTGTTCTGGATTTAGTTAAATATTGCTAATTAAAAAGAGTTAAACCGTAATTTCAGTTTAATTTTTAGTACAATTTTGATTTTCGATTTAGCGGAGTTAAACACAAGAACGAGTGGATGACAAACGCCATATTTATTTGTATAAAACCAATACTTTTATTATATCTAATTGACTAATCAGAAATTTTCAAAACATTCATCAAGTTCAAGCTTTATCAGTGAGTCATAATTAAATATCAAATAAAGCACGATTAATAATTTTCCATTTATGGAAGGGCACTTGATTTGCCCCATCAACCAATAATAGTACTACTCTTAGCCGATTACAAAGAAACTCATTTTGCGGCTCTCAGTTAACTAAGTGGAATTGTTTATCAATTTCCGTCTTAGGCGCGTAAGATTTATTTTTTCAGACTGAAAAAAGTGAATTTTTTTTTATCAATCTAAAGTTCGATTGATAGCCATCAAACTAGCCGTTTGGAAGTGTTATAATCAATTAAAACGAATAAATTTTGGAAATGAAATATCTGATCTGTGTTTCCATTTTATTTTAACATGTAATCATCGTCTAGTTTGATTTGGGTTGGTGTTAAAACAATTTCTCGTTAATGTCTCCAATGAAGATTTCATCATAACTTTTAACCAAAAAAAAAAAAAGATTTCATCATAACTATTAACTAACACTCAGTCGTTCTCCATTATTTTATTGATGATGGATGGTCTCTTCCATCGATAATGATGGATGGTCTCTTCCATCGATAATGACTGGTACTTTCTAATCATTATCACCAAAATCTGATAAGATAAATTCCAAACCAAAATTACGATACCTTCAATTAAATTTACGTTACTACTCAAAATCTTCTAAATTTCCAACTTTTCTATCGCTGAAATATTATCAAACTATGCATTTTATAGGTATCGATATCCCTATTTAAGAACCGACACTTTTGAAAAATCTATGATTAACATAATCAAAAATAACAAAAATTATATGACCTATCACACCCCAATGCCCGGATACTTTAAGATATATTCGATTTTGTTTAATATTTTCGGCCAAATACTATGTGAGATAATATTATATATACACAATAAAATGGTTTATGACCATTCTGATGGAATAATTTACATTCTAGCCGAATGGTTAAAAAATTCATTGAATCTGAAAATGAGGATTTACTGATCAGTGGAGTCGTAATTGCTCATTTAGCAATATCTTTGGGAATTTAGATTCCAAGTTCCAAATATTAAGTCTCGATTTCCAAGCATTGATAGGTCGCGAGGAAGCTTAAAAGGTTATGACTCCTAGGGTTCATTAATTACATTCAAAAACCGTTTTGAAACCTCTTCAGATTCATTATCGCTGGTTCTTCTATATAAACATATATAGTGGCAAATTTTTGAGATACCTAAAGTCTCTGACTCTCAGTTGATTCCTAATTTCTTTTTCCTTTCTCTTCTGGTTTTACTCTGCTTTTCTAAGCCTCTCATGGCTAAAAGTGCAACGTTTAGCTTGAAACTTCTCATTGATGAGAAGATAAACAAAGTTGTTTTGGCTGAGGCAGATCAGGATTTTGTTGATGTGCTCATCAGTCTTATGTCTCTCCCAATGGGTAAGATTGCTAGCTTGTTGGAGAATCATAAAAAATTTCAGACAGTCGTCCTAGGCTGTTACAGAAACCTTAGCAGAAGTGTTGCAGATATGGGCATCGAACATTTTGAGACTGAAGCCTGCAAGAGTATGTTACTGAATCCGAAGAGTAGCAAGGAGGTTCATTGCAGAAGGCTCAAGCTGAACATGGGTGATACTGATGCCACAAAGTTCTTTATGTGCGCAAACTTCCTTAAGAAAGATAACTTATGCAGCAATGTGTACAGCAATTTTAACACCTCAAGATGTAGTTGTGGAGCTCTGATGAGCAGTCAGATTCTGGTCCCAGAAGAAGACCAAGCTGGAGAAGTGATAGGAAACAGTGAACATGGAGTGTTTGTCAGTTGCAGATCGTCATTCATTGTGACTGATGATCTGAACGTGACGTTGAACTCTATTAGTGCTGTCATGAAAGTTCTTCATGATATAGGGTATCTTGGTTTTAAGGATCTGCGCGAAACCCTACTTGATGTAGGGTTCGAAGAGGTACTTTGGATTCTTGTCTTTGTTCCTTTTACTCATTGTAGTACATAAGGCTAGATACTAACATCTAATCTTGTCTAAATCTAGGTGCTGACTCTTTTGGGATGTTTATTCACTTCGGAAACTCCCTTGACATGCGCATTCCTCGGGATACCTTGCATGACAAGGAAGCTCAAAATGCTATCCTCTCCTGTTCAAAAAACAGGACGTGTAGAGCCAAGCAGTGCGTATTCTGTGAAAGTATTTGTTAGAAAGCTTGATTGGGAGATTATTTATGCTGAGTGCAATGAAGACTTCGTTGATTCTCTTCTCAGTTTTCTGATTTTCCCTCTTGAGTTGGCCTACTCGTTGTCTAAACAGTCTAATGATGATACTCTTTTGGGATGTATCGGAAATTTGTGCAGAAGCCCTCTGGTGTCGGAAGGTAAAAAAATTGTGAAAGTGTTTCCAGATAATCCAAAAGTAAAGCCTGGAACTTCATCAATACGTGGTAGTGGGTTTATGAAGAGAAACACAAAGTTCATTGTGTCTAATGATCTGACTATAACTCCGATGAATTCAACTTCGACCATTGGCTTGTTGAAGAAGATGCAGGTAGACTTCAGTGATCTAGAGGAGCATCAGATTAGCATTTCCAGAGCAGAGGTATGCTTTTAATATTGCCTTCTTTTACTGTTTTTGGTCTTTGCCTCTTTGGTATTATCTAAATTGCCTAAATGATTAAAGTTTTAAATATTCTTCATCTTGCTGTTCTATTGCAGCTCATCAGCATTCTTAGAGCTTCCTTGATCTCGTCCTCTGCATTGACTAATGGTCTTTCATACTTGCTCGTGAAGAAACCAAAGGAAGAAACTTGAACGCCAAACACAAACTGAAGATTATGTCTGTTTCTGAGGAATATGTCTTACATCTTTTAGTTCTTGAATTATTATTTTTTTTATCTAGATTCTCTTTCTATTCTTCTATTTTCATAAGGCTTTTTTTTCTTTATGTTTTTAGTTTGAGCTTAATGCTCTAATCCTCTATCCATTTTTATGGCTTAATGCATTCAAAAATACATTTTATTGTCTTATCATTCCTTTTTTTTATATATAACTATAGGCATCACAGATTGGCAAAAAGCCAAAAACCATAATAATACTTACGCAAATATCTCGAAACACATAAAGTACTTTCGAAATAATCTTATGCCAAAAATACAAAATGTAGCTTTATGCAAAAAAATTTGTTTTTTTGTCATTAAGGTGACTAAACTAACTGGTTTTTGTTTCCGCAAAGACTATAAATAACCTCTCATCGTAAAAATATGTAACGAGAATGAAAGCAATATCCAGAAGATGATAACATAATCTGTAATTTGACATAATGAATTAGAAGTTCAAAGCCGACTTGACTTCGACATAAGGACACTCTTAAAACATTTTCAGACTGTTTGTTATTTTGGATTTAAGTTGAAGACAAAAACAAGTTCTTATTGCTGACTCAAAATCTTATTATTCCTCATAGAAGCAAATCCCAAACGGATTTGCTCTTTAAGCAGATGTCGTTGCAGCGATAGCTCCAGCTTCAGTCAACAGAGGAACCAACTTGCCGCTACTGTGCATGCCCATTGTTGCTACAAGAACAATACAATCATATGGTTTTAAGATATTAAAAAAAAAACGAAACCAAAGATCCACCAAAGAACAACACTTTGAATGGAATTGCTCTGTTTTTTCTTACCATCGCAGCCACCGATGTGTTTTCCTCCAATAAACACATTCGGCACGGTGCGTTGTCCTGTCCATTCTCCAAGAGCTGCTTGAATGCTGCCACCATCACCTATATTACACAACATGAACAATGCTTGAGTCTTGATTCTCTGGTGAGTCTATACAAATCTGAATCAAAGCAATATACATAGCTCATTGATGGTAATAATAATGTTTCCTGTAACTTTTAAATATTTGTGGCTAATAGAGTCACATTCACATCATGATGAGATCCCACACAAAGCACAGAAATCTTGGACAATGGGTTCAGAACCAAAACCTAAACTTAGCTTTAAAAAAAAACATAAACTCGAATTTTTCAAGAGAAAACAGAGAAATCGTTATTTTTATCAACAAAGCATATACTTGGATCAAAAACCAAAACTCGACTCTCAAGAGAAAGCAGAGAAAATTTCTTCGGCAGGATCATGAACAAAACGTATACTTATCAAAACTCAAACTCCAGAGAAAGAAGGCAAATCTTATGTGGTGGGTTCATAATCAAAGCCTATACTTGAATCAAAATACCTAACTCTGGGTCTCGGTACACAAAACAAGACAACAATTCAAACAATTCAGAAACATCAAGAAAATGAAATGAAATTATGATTGAAGCATTGGTAAATTCATACTTTCTTTGTCGAGCTCAACGGCTATGAATTTAGCTCCCAATTTCTGCAAAAGCTCCTTCACTTTCACACAGAATGGACAATACGACTTGCTGCAATTCCAAGGGCATAATAAAACCGATCAGATTACTCGAAAAAAACTAACATACGCATATGCTCCCTTGGTACACAAAAGCGTCTAGATTCATCGATCGATGCTTAATCGCAAACATTTCAATGCAGATTTGTGTTAAAACATACAATCACAGCGATATAAAAGAAGAACAGACTCTCAGATTCGAATCGAAGATACCAATATGTTCACAAAACAAACAACCCAATGACATAATTCGAGAGAAACGCGTGAAAATTGAAGAATCGAGAGGAGAGAAGGACCTGAAAACAACGACGGCATTGCTGGAAACGATCTCTTTAGCCTTCTGCATCGCCATCTTCTTCTAGAGAGAAACCTAAAATTCGCTTTGTTTGTATCGATCTGGTTTTTAGGAGAACAAAAGAATATTGTGAGAAAGAAAGGAAGCGAATCTGTTATTTATAAAAAACCAGATCGTAATTTGAAGTAGGGAAATGAAGTCAGAGAAATGAAACGTTTGTTAAATATTAGCCGTCGATTTTTGAATTGGTTATTTTATTTTATCTTGACTTCAAATTACGATATTATTATTTTATTGGGCTTTCTATTGGGCCGTCGTTTTATAATATATTTTTTCCTCGCCGTCAGGTTGGTGAATGTCTCTGCTTGGTCTGCCAAAAAAATTTTTAAAGGACATACTTGAATTTTGCAAATATTTTTATTTCAAAAATAAGAAAATTTTATATAAAACTATAAATTAATGTTAAAATTTTGATATTTTATTAATTTATAGAGTTATTAATTTATAAATTTAATTTTTTTTGTTGTTAATTTTAAACAAGATTTTTCTTTTTAGAGATTATAATTTTTAAAAAATTCTTTTTAAAACTAAAAATGAGTTACAAAAAAAATAATTTAAAAAAAATAAAAAACATTACTAAACTCATATTTTAATAATTTTTTTCATTTATATATTTATATCAGATTTTGTTTTTAATAGTTATTAATTTATAATATTAACGGGATCATATATTTATATAAAAATTTTGTTAAAATTATTATATTATTATTTTATCAAATTGTATTATATTATAAACTAGTTCAACTTAAATTATTAATTTATAATATTTATTAGTTTATCGATATTAATTTTTTAATTTATAATATTTATTAGTTTAATTTATGTATATAACAAAAAAACTAAAAACGAAATTGTTGTGAAAACTTAGAAAGTTTATTAATCACTGGAATGTATATATAGAGTACATAGGGAATCTAGGTTAAGTACAATGCCTTGATGGGCCTAATGGGCCGGTATAAGAGTCCATATATGATATGTGTTATAACACTCTCCCTTGGATGAGTGAACCGGGCCAGCTACTCAATCAGGATCTCGATAATGCGCTGGGGAATGTTGCCTCATTAAAACCTTACCAGGAAAAACCCAGTGGGACAAAACCATGGTGAAGGAAAAAGAGTACAACACGCATTACTCCCCCTGATTGTAGCATCACTGCAGATCTCTAAGTCTATACATTCCTATCTGTTTGACGAGCTTCCGGTGTGTTGAAGTAGGCAATGATTTGGTGAAGAGGTCAGCTGAATTATCACTGGATCGGACCTGCTGAACGCTGAGAGTGCCGTCCTTCTGCCAGTCTGAGGTTGAGAAGAACTTCGGTAGAATGTGCTTCGTCCGATCTCCTTTGATATATCCTTCCTTGAGCTGAGCTATGCATGCCGCGTTGTCTTCATACATCACCGTGGGCTGTGTGTCTTCGTCCATACCACAATCTCTGCGGATGTGCTGAGTCATGGAGCGCAGCCAGACGCATTCCCTATTAGCCTCATGAATGGCTAGGATTTCAGCATGGTTTGATGAAGTGGCAGTGAGTGTCTGCTTCATTGATCTCCAAGAGATGGCTGTTCCTCCATGCGTAAAAACGTAGCCAGTTTGAGACTTGGCAGTGTGCGGATCTGATAGATATCCTGCATCGGCGAAGCCGACTAACCCATCTTTATTTTGGTTAGTATAGAAGAGTCCTAAGTCTTGAGTACCTCGAAGGTATCTTAGGAGATGTTTTATACCGTTCCAGTGCCTCTGAGTTGGAGATGAACTATATCGAGCGAGGAGGTTCACGGCGAAACATATGTCTGGTCTAGTGTGACTAGCCAGGTACATTAACGCTCCTACAGCACTGAGGTATGGCTTTTCAGGACCAAGGATTTCTTCATCATCCTTTTTGGGACCAAGAGGGTCATCACTTAAGCTTCTAACTACCATTGGGCTGGTCAATGGGTGAGCTTGGTCCATATTAAATCGCTTGAGTACCTTTTCGATATAAGCCGATTGATGCACAAGGATTCCTCCTTTGATGTACTCAAGTTGTAATCCCAAACAGTACTTTGTTTTGCCTAGGTCTTTCATTTTGAATTCTGCTTTTAAGCAGTCGACTGTTTGGGAGATCTCACCAGATGTTCCGAGGATGTTTAGATCATCCACGTATACTGCTATGATTACAAATCCTTTGTTTGAGTACTTCTTGATGAAGATGCATGGACTGATGGGGTCATTTTTGTAGCCTTCTTTGATGAGGTAATCGCTGAGGCGGTTGTACCACATACGCCCACTTTGTTTCAGTCCATACAAGGATTTGTTCAGCCTGATGCAGTATTGATCTCGAGATGCATTTTTGTCTTTTAGTTCAATGCCATCTGGGAGTCTCATATATATTTCGTTGTCCAGGGGCCCATAGAGATATGCGGTTACAACATCCATTAACCGCAGATCAAGATTTTCTCTTATGGCCAGACTTATGAGGAATCGGAATGTTGTTGCATCCACCACTGGAGAATAAGTCTCCTCATAATCGATTCCGGGTCTCTGTGAGAATCCTTGTGCTACAAGCCGTGCTTTGTATCGAACGACTTCACCGAGTTCGTTCCTTTTGCGCACAAAGACCCATTTGTGGCCCACTGGCTTGATGTGTGATGGGGTCCGGATGATCGGACCGAACACGTTTCTGAGTTTGAGACTCTTTAACTCCACGTTTATGGCTTCTTTCCATTTTTAGCCAATCTGTTCGATGTGTACACTGTGTTATTGACGTGGGTTCTAGATCCTCTTGCGTGAGCGCAACATCAAGTGCTACTTTGTATGCAAAGAGTGCATTTAAGTCGACTTCTTTTCGATTCCATTGTATTCCGGACATATTGTAATTGATGGAGATCTCATTGTTATCTTCTGAACCTGGAGATTCGGCGTCCCGAACTTCCATTGAGGGTTCATTAGATTGAGTCTCAGCCGCGGCTATGTCTGATATTGCAGGAATCCCGGTTTCGGTTATTGCACCTTTCTTTGATTTCCGGGGATTCTTATCTTTGGAACCGAGAGGTCTGCCCCGTTTGAGACGTGGTGCAGACTCTGTAGTAACTTGGGTCTGTCCCGTTGGGACAGCTATTCGTACTGGTGCATTACAAGCTGGGATGTACGATTTGGTTACTTTGGTCGGGTCAGCAAAGGAATCTGGCAATTGATTAGCTAGCTTTTGATAATGAATAATCTTTTGGATCTCTGAATCACATTCTAGAGTCCGAGGATCTTGCCAATTTAATGATGTTTGATTCCATGAAAGATCTTTGACCAGCTTGTTTGTCTCACCACCTTAAGAGGGATATACCGATTCATCGAATTGGCAATCCGCATATCTGGCCTTGAAGAGATCTCCAGTGGTTGGCTCGAGATATCTTATGATGGTGGGAGAGTCAAAACCAACATATATTCCCATCCTTCTTTGAGGTCCCATTTTGGTTCGATGTGGTGGAGCAATGGGTACATATACTGAACACCCAAATGTTTTGAGATGGGAGATGTCTGGCTCATGACCCGAGAGTAGTTGGGATGGGGAATATTTGTGTTCACTAGATGGCCGGATGCGTATGAGTTCAGCAGCATGTAATACTGCATGTCCCCATGCTGAGGCCGGGAGCTTTGATCTCATGAGTAATGGTCGGGCTATCCATTGAATGCGTTTAATGAATGATTCAGCCAATCCATTTTGAGTATGGACATGTGCTACAGGATGTTCCACGGTTACCCCCATGGCCATACAGTAGTCATTAAACGCTTGTGAGGTAAATTCACCAGCATTGTCAAGGCGGATAGTCTTTAGTGGGAAGTCAGGGAAATGGGCCCGCAATTTTATGATTTGGGCCAAGAACCTAGCGACGGCTTGGTTCCGAGAGGACAAGAGACAAACATATGACCAACGGGTCGATGCGTCTATAAGGACCATGAAGTACCGGAATGGTCCGGAAGATGGATGTATAGGTCCACAGATATCGCCCTGGATTCTTTCTAGGAAATGAAGTGTTTGTTTAGAGATTTTTAACTGGTGAAGGCCGAGTGATCAATTTGCCTTGAGAACAAGCTGTGCACATGAGGTGTTGAGGATAAGCTCGGTTTTCTTTGAGGGTATGCCCTTGAGAGTTTTGAATTAGTTTACGCATCATATTTGCACCGGGATGACCGAGCCGGTCGTGCCAAATAGTATAATCAGTAAACCGGGCTTTGAGAGTGGTATTAGCTTCAATCATACTGACTTTAGCATGGTAAAGTCCAGTAGAGAGCACGGGTATGGTTTCGAGGATTTGTTTATGGCCGTCTACGGTTTTAGTGACTAGGAGGGATTCTTTGTTCCCTTGACCTTGGGTTTCTATGTGGAAACCATTTTGTCTTATATCCTTGAAGCTCAGAAGATTTCTCTTCGAACTAGGAGAATATAGAGCATCTGGTATTTCAAGTTGTGTGCCATTTGATAGCAACACATAGGCATGGCCATATCCTTCGATAAGGTTTGAGGGACCCGCGATGGTGCTAATATTTGCGGTTTGATAGGTTAGGTTTATGAAGTAACTTTTGTTTCTTAAGATAGTGTGGCTGGATCCACTATCTACGACTATGGTTTCCATTTGCTGGTGTGCTTTTCCACCTTTGGATTTCTGACAGGCTAATGAAACTGGGAGCTAATAGACCTCAGTTAGCCGTTACAAATTCCAAGGATTGATCACCAAAACTGGAGAAGCTGCTGGTTGAAGAAGGAAAACCTCGGATCTGGTTATTTTTTTTTTCGGTTGATCGTCGTGTACTATAAGTGTGCGTGAGGGCGCGTCCGACGTTGGATCGACAAACGGTTTTCACCAGTAGATTCGTCTCGTCGAGGGCTTCGATTTGATATGTAGATCGTCTTCTGGTTCCTCACGGTTTGGAAGATATGCGTCTTTTAAGCTTCGACTTGCTTTTAGGGTTTTGGTGGTGGCCGGATTTATTAGGGTTTTTCGCTCAGAGAGTCTTATCGTGCTGATAACGTGTTGTGAAAACTTAGAAACTTTATTAATCACTGGAATGTATATATAGAGTACATAGGGAATCTAGGTTAAGTACAATGCTTTGATGGGCCTAATGGGCCGGTATAAGAGTCCATATATGATATGTGTTATAACAGAAATATGAT